TGCCACATTCACCCTAGACCCCTAGGAAAAGTCCAGGTCCCATGTGGTCCCCTGCCATCTCATCATAACCCCTTCCCTATAAATCTCAGTCTCCTACCTCCTTACGTTCTTTTTGGGTCTCCTATCCCCATCCAAGCCTTCCACCTCTGGATCAACACACTTCTCTTCACTGTGTAATCTCAAGAAATAAGCTAAATCTAAAAGAAAATATCAAAGATCAGGCATGCATTTATGTATACAAGCAGCGTTTTATTTTCACCTCTTAAAACATTTTTTAAATGAATATACTATTTGAATAACTTTTTGGAAAAGGTAATAAATTTAAATGCCTTTTTATGATCTGTGTTCATTATCCTCTTAAACATAGCCCAGTTTCTACTTTTGCTAGCCATATAAATGTTCACCATATATATATGTAAGGAGTTTCCTTTTTACTGAAAAAATGACTCAAATATATTTTTAATTTAAAAGAGGAAGAAGAAATCATATAGTAGTTAGCTATGATAGTTTAAAGAATACAAAGTTTCTCTGAGAATAATGGCCAAGGTTTTTAAAATTGGATCCCTACAGTTAGGCTCCTAAATCCATATTTAGGCACTTAATTAAGTGGCCTGTCTATCAAAAGTGCCAAGGCACTGTGAAAGCCATCGGAAGCTGCTGGGTGCTCAATACTTTTGCAAGTCAGGCCTCTTACTTGGGAACCTAACCATAACCACCTGTGTCTTTGAAAATCTCTTTTCAACGAATGTAATAAAAAAAGCAGGTCTAGCCTCCGTTGGGACAGAGAGAGAACAAACAGAGCTAAAAAAAATAGAAAATACATGACGAGAAACATATAGGCATATAAGGGCCAGGAGAAGACAATATGGCCAGTGAAGGGCTGCCCTTGTAGCCCCCTTTGTAGCCGTAGGAAACACAAGTCAACATGTATCTTGCCATCATTTTTATCACTGCATCTATCCATTGGCCAAATCCCTTCTTCCCCAAAAACTCCCATTAGAACTGGTTTACGTTTTGGACTTCCATTGTTTATGTTAATAATTCATTCAATATTTTTCAAACCCCTTTCTCTGTAAATAAAGGACCAACATGTTTTGTGATTTTTATGTAAATTTCTGTTCCGTTCTGGAGTTAAGATGATTGACGGGGGCATTTTGAGGTGACTGGAAGAAGTGTCAATAGAACTCATGGTCTTTCTAGCATTGTACCCAGATGATATTCCAATCTCAAGAATGCCAATCTCCCAACCTCGCCCTTTGAAGAGATTGATGGTGTTCCTAGTATAAAGAATACAAAAATCAAACTGGGATTCACTGTTCACTAAGCCATAGTAAGCCAAGTAATAGGCTCAGGACAGAGAGCTCGGTAGGCAATGGAAGAAATCTGGAAAACCAGATGTACGGTGCACCAGAATTGTCATGTCATACTGCACCCCTTCTGAATCATCATGATCATTTACTGTTATATAGTAGAGCAGATTTTGCCACCCTTATTCATGTTGATTAGTACCGTTATCTGCAAATAGTCCCACTGAAATCAATGGGACATCTCCCAGATTAAGATATTATTCATCTTGAGTAAGGGTGGCTGAATCTGTCTCACAATGATTCTATCATGATTCTCAGCTGCTTGCAGTAAGAGACTGAGACTATGAAAAAAGGTTACCTGGAGCTGATTTAGAGAATTGTGTTACTCATATTATATCTCTCCTAGCAATGAATTCGCAGCATTGATGCTCAAGTTTATGATTTTATGGTAACTATGAGTGAAGGTGTGCAAATGTGTGTGTTGTGATGGTAGAGTTGTGTGGAATTGTGTGTGCATAGTTTTGTGCTGGGAGATTTGTGTTTTATGTGTGGGTTGCATTGAACTTGGAAATGTGTATGGCTGTGTGTGTGCTGGTTGTGTTGTTGCATGGGTGGTTGTGTTGAATAGTCTGTGGATTGCATTGCGCTGGGAAAGTTGTGAAGGTTCCCAATGAAATTCACTGTTAAGTGCAAAGCAATGCACACTGGAAAAAATATTCCCAACTATACATACATAACGATGGGTTCTAAATTTGCTGTTACCACTCAAGAAAGAGATCTTGGAGTCATTGTGGATAGTTCTCTGAAAACTTCATCTCAATTCGCAGCAGTGGTCAAAAAGGCTAAAAGGATGTTTGGAACTACTAGGAAATGGATAGAAAATAAGACAGAAAATATCATAATTTATAAATCCAAAGTATGCCCACACCTTGATCCTATGCCCAGTTCTGGTTGCCCCATCTCAAAAAGGATACAGTGAAACTGGAAAAGTTTCAGAGACTGGCAACAAAGATGATCAAGGGTATGGAATGGGTTCCATAAGGGGAAACTAATATATTAGGGCTGTTCAGCTTAGAAAAGAGACAAGGAGGATATGACAGAGCAGTGGCTCTGAACCTTCCCAGACGACTGTACCCCTTCCAGGAGTCTGATTTGTCTTGCGTACCCCAAGTTTCATCTTACTTAAAAACAACTTGCTTACAAAATCAGATATAAAAATACAAAAGTGTCACAGCCCACTATTGCTGAAAAATAGCTCACTCTCTCATTTTTACCATATCATTATAAAATAAATCATTTGGAATATAAATATTGTACTTACTTTTCAGTGTATAGTGCATAGAGAAGCATAAACAAGTGATTGTCTATATGAAATTTTAGTTTGTACTAACTTCACTAGTGCTTTTTATGTAGCCTGTTGTAAAACTCAGCGAATGTCTAGATGAGCTGAAGTACTTCCTGGAAGAGGGGGGAGGGATAGCTCAGTGGTTTGAGCATTGGCCTGCTAAACCCAGGGTTCTGAGTTCAATCCTTGAGGGGGCCATTTGGGGCAAAAATTGGGGATTGGTCCTGCTTTGAGCAGGGGGTTGGACTAGATGACCTCCTGAGGTCCCTTCCAACCCTGATATTCTATGACTCTATGAAGACCTCTGTGTACCACCAGGGATATGTGTACCCCTGGTTGAGAACCATTGTGATAGAGCGCTACAAAATCATGAATGGTGTGGAAAAAGCAAAGAGAGAAATGTTATTTACCCCTTCCCACAGTATGAAAACCAAGGGTCACCTGATGAAATTAATAGGCAGCAGGTTTAATGTGAACAAGAGGAAATACCTTTTCACACAACACACAATCACCGTGTGGAACTCTGCCATGGGATGGTGTTTTGGACAAAAGAATGACTATCTTCACAGAAGAACTGGATATTCATGGAGGATAGGTCTATCAATGGCTATTAGCCAAGATGGTCAGGGACCCAACCTCTTGCTAAGGGTGACCCTAAACTTCTAACTAACAGAAACCAGGAGGGAAAGACAGGGATGAATCTCTCCAGAACTGCGCTGTTCTGTACACTCCCCCTGAAGCTCTGTCAGCTCTGGGCACTGTCAGAGACAGGATACAGGGCTAAATGTACCATTGGTCTGACCAGTAATACACTTCTTATTCATTTAACAAACTACAGAGCTATTATGCAAATAAATTTATCAAGCACCTTTGACTACCTTACCTGCTCTCTGCCCACTACTCCATATTTCTCTAGCACTCCTTTTATCATCCTAACCCACTGAGCAGCTTCAAAGAGACGCCTCGGTGTGAGGGGTTTACACTAAGTCAATTTATGACAAAAATATTTCTTCCTCCTTACCCAAATTTTCCCCGCAGATTAAACCTGCCCAAGATGAGAAAGATTTAATCCCAGCCTAATAATACCTAAAAATGTTACGCCTTGAAAACCCATTATGTCATGTTATTGCAGGGGCAGAAACAGGAGCTTTATCTTGTTTATCCAAGAGACCTGGGTTCTATGCCCAGCTCTGCCACTGATCTACTGGGTGACCTTGGGAGAGTCACTTTAACCATTCTGTGCCTCAAGTTATTCATCTGTCAAATGAGGAGAAAGACACTGACCTGCTTTGTAAAACACTTTGAGATCTGTGGATGAAAAGCACTACATAAGATCCAGGAATTATCATCATCCCATTGGGAAGGGAAGATTCCCAGCTTCCCACAGCACTCACATGGAAAGGCCCAAGATATCAAAGATACTTGCTCTTTTTTTTTTTAATCCATTTTGGCATGTATTGTGGCTCCCTGTTTACACACAGTGATACTCATGGAGTTGGAACCTGCAGCAACAAAGTCAATAGGAGTCTTGTCATGGACTTTAATGGACGCAGGATTGGGCTCATGATAGGCAGTCCTAGATGTTTATTTTTAAAACATATAATATGATTTTGGAAATGTCAAGTTGAGCTCATAAGTCGCTGACACAATCACGCGTTCCAAATGTTACCCTCATCCTCTCGCCTCATTCCCTCCTGCTATTTGTTACATCTCCTGTTGCATCTTGTCTGTAGCTATTGGAGGACAAGACCTCATCTTACCATGTGTCTAATACATACACGTATGTATGATATATGGTGTCAAAGGTAAATAACTGTCAACGTTAATTAAATTGCAGTATGTATAATGTTCTAAGGCTCTGATTTTGCAACAGGACCATATTAAGTAGTTTCAACTTATTGTCTCTTACAAAGCTACTCACAGCAAAACCTTACCTTAAATTCACAAGCCAGGAGAAGCTCCTTCCAAAAGTATTTGTAGCTTGATGAAGATGGTCTATGTTGCATCTCAAGAAACAAAGCACATGACCTCTGGGTAACAGACTTGAGTTTTGATTAACCCAAAATCACTCCCACTCCAAGAGATTATACAATGTAGTGTTCTATCACATTTTGAAGCACAAGCTGTCATCAGAAAATCTGTATTTTCAAACGTTAAGTATAAGTGACTATCTTCGACGCAAGCAAAGCCAGAGTTTAAGCTCTACTCCTATAGCTTTTCTCCAGTACATAACATTTTTAAAAGAAATGCGGGGAATATTTGATGGATACAACTTGCAGGTTGTACACATGAAATCAGATGACAGAATGTTTAATAAAAACAGAAAATATAAGAACATAAATCAGGCAGAATTACTTTATGCTCTATTTACTCTCCTAGGAACATCACTATCTCATATCAGAAGTCACAGGATGCATGACAGGATGTAAAAAAGACAAAAAAAACACAAACACTGGTGTCAATTTCCCTTTCCCCCTCCTACCACAATAGTCTGAGTTGTATGAGATGCTATATCTCATAGTGGCATTTCCTACCTGGCACTGATCTGCTTTCAGATACAAGACTGCAGTTTGGAATTAGTTTTACCCTTAGTGTATTTCACATTGTCCACTGTATACAACACTCAACAGAAGTACTCAGACCTGGAGCCCTCACTTTTGAACGTCATCTGAGAATCCATGCTTGACCTAGAGCAAAGCAGAAGTCTTTCTGACTCACCAGTGTCTCTTCGAGTCCAGAGCTCTCCTCCTGTGCCCACTGAACGGGGCTTCAAGGAAAGTGTTTCAAATTTGACATAGGTCTCTTTTGCAAGGTCAGCTTCCCTAGCAGATTTTGGTTTCCTGTGAAGTTTTAAAACTTTATAGAGTAAGAAAAATATCAAAGGTAGAACAATCACACATGCCACACTGCTAGTCATGACCAAAATAGAAACTTGAGAACCACTCTCATCATGTATTCCATCAGTGGAGAAAATAATGCATTGATCTTTTGTAGGTGGGACTCCTTTGGGACAGACACATGCCATGTATTGTGTACTAGGCTGCAAACCATCTATTGTGACTTTGTTTTTGCTGGGATCTGTACTCAGAGGCAGCATATCTTTCTCACCATACTTTGAGTACAATACAGTCACTGCAGAGTTGCTTGTGGCATTGATGGTTTTCCAAGTTAAGGTAACTCTTTCGTCCGTTTCACTAATAACTTTCAGGTACTTTATGGTGACATTCTGTTCAGCCAGTGCTGCTGCATTCAATGAAGTCTCCTCATCTTTTTTGCTGGTTTCTTCAGGCTTTTTGTTGTTTCCATTTGTTACTCCCTTTGAACTTTTTTTCCCATCAGCAATGGACTTGGATTGCTTTTTGTCTGTGATCTTGGCACCTGTTGGCCTTTCAGTGGTAGCCATTGTTGTGGGTAGCGATGTTAAGGGTGGAGGAGGTGTGGTGCTTTTTTCAGATTCTTGCTTGGCTTCCTCCTGTGTGTTATTTTGTTGGTCTGCTTCAAACTTCTTCCCATACTTTTGTGGTGACACAGTCGTAGTGACAACACCTACCACAGTGACAGTAACAGCAGCTTCTGACATTCCCGCCAAATTTTTGGCCTTACATCTGTAGTCCCCTGCATCCTTGTATGAAATCCCTGTCAGACTTATTATGGACCATCTGACACCTTCTCCTGGAGTTTCTTGAATTACTAAAGGAAAATGAATGCATATAGTAAAACAGTGTAACAGGAACATAAAAAAAAAAAGAGAAAAAGCTATGACATTACCCCTTCCATGCTTTTGCTATGTTAGAAAGAACCATTTGAACTGAACATATTGGTTTTTTAAACACAACTTGCAAAACTCCCTGCCATATGATAGTATTGAAAAAAGGAGTTGAGGTCTGGTCTGCACTACAGACCTACATCAGTAAAACTACATCACTCACTGAAAAATACACACCCCTTAGCGACATAGTTATACCGACTTAACCCCCTGTGCAGACAGAGCTCTGTCAGCAGGAGAGCTTCTCCCGTTGGCATAGCTACCGCCTCTTGGCATAGCTACCACCACCCGTCAGCAGAGAGCGTCTTCATTAAAGTGCTACCGTTACATCGGTGCAGCTGTGCTGACGCAGTGTTTTAAGTGTAGACTCGCCCCGAGTACGGTTCAAAAATAAAATTAGACATTTATATGAGAAATAAAAATATTTGCCGTTTCATTATACAAAACAAAAATGGTTAAAGGGATATAGGGTAAAGTTTCAAAAGTGCATACGTGACTTGGCAGCCTGAATTCCATGGACTTTAGAAGCTAAACTGACTGTCAACAAGACTTCAAACCCTAAGTGTCTAAGTCACTTTAGGAAATGGTACTTTGGCTCCTAATTCACTTAAATGGTCTTGAAGGTTTCACCCATCAGCTCTTATGTTTAAGGGTAAAAGCTTGCTGCTGACTGCCTGAGGTTAGCAAGAAACATTCCCCATGGGCAGGTTATTGCATAATTACCCATTAAGGAGCTTGACGCAACTGTCTGAGGCACTGTTTTGGACTACATAGAGCACTGATGCAACCCCATTCGACAATTATCATCATCTAATCCAGGAACTTTATACACCACCTCACAAGGGAGGCTAAAGTCTAAACATGTATTGGAAATTGAATTATCCTGTTTCACTTAAAGGTAGCCCTCAGCTCAGGACTGGAGCTTGTGGCTGGAGTAAGAAGCAGCAGCCTGCACTACCCAGGCTTAACCTGTCCTGTGGACTGAACTTTCCCAGCACTGTCTATCTAGAACCCTTAAGAGTCCCCCAGCCCCTCCCCCAGTTTTTTAAATCAAGATTAAGAGATTAAGTTAGATCCGTAACAATTAATAGATTTATATCTATTTTTATTATGTGGATTTTACTCTTCACCCTGTATATTTTAATTATTGTAAGCTCCCAGGGTGAAAGACAGGCACTATAAATAATAAATCAATTGTAATGTATGACACCTCGATCTTACAGACTTCTGCGTCTGCACTATTTGTGTGCTCTACAATGACAGTTGTGACATGAACAGCAAAAGCAAAGAAAAATTTATATATATATATATATGTATATATAGCATTCCAGTTTCAAAAGCTCTCCACCAAAATTTTGGAAAAGTTTGGCTTTGAGTTCAGACTTCAAACCCACCTCTACAGAATATGTAATCATCAAAACACTTTGAGTTATTAAAATAATTGAGTTCTGAGGCAAACAGTTTAATTTCCAGGCTTTTCTAGGAGCTGCAGATTTTATACATTCGCTAGCTTCCCCTACTCTCAGCCCCTTCCTTTTTCTGTCTTTTCTCTTCTACAGTTCTTCCTTAAATCCTACAGATAATCCTTAGATGCTAACTATGTCATCTACTGGCAGCCTCCAGTACTGCACTATAACAATTCATTTCCACTGATAAGCTTATTTTGTTTTAAATGAGTGATATTAGCTTACTGCTTTGAGTTAAAAGAATTTTTCATAATAAATATAACAATTTATGATTGTGGGTTTACAATAAGATGTCATACAGTTTCATTCTCATGAACCCATTACTTAGAAATAGGAAAACTTCTGAATTGCTAGATGCAATTACTAAAATTGGCTGATATTCAAAAACAATATCTGATATTCACTGTCTCTTAACGTTCGGTATGGACATTGGTGGTAAATGACCAAAATTCAAAAATACTAATATTTATTGCAAAGCCAATGCTTATAATAAAAATTGCTGTGTTTAAGTAGCTCAGTTATGGCTGCACTGTCTTTTTTAACTTCCATTTTGTACCGGAGACAAGCCAAAACTGAAATTTAAAGTCCAAAGCACCCCCTCCAATTTTGGGAAACTGAATCTAAGCCTCCTATCCAGTCTTGGTTCCATGTCATGTTCAGAATTGGAAGTGACCTGTTTGCGTTGTTCATGTTCAGATATGGATGAATTTAACACAAACAGGAGTGAAGAGATTCTGGCCCCAAATGGTGGAAATATTGTGAGAATATTTGGTCTTGTTCGTTTTTCACCATTCATCAGTAATGATCTCAAAGATCATTTCAAAGCACGAATGATCAATATTTCTAGGTTCTCATATTTCTTAGTAATAAATTATGAAATACCTGTATAGTTCACCGGTAAATTGTCTGACCTGATCCAGGTAAGTTGTGGGGTTGGATATCCAGTGGCATCACAGCGTAGCAGTACATTGCTTCCCAGAGGTGATGTGATTTTTGTTGCTGAAGTCATCACTGATGGTTTAAGACACTGTTCCAGCTCTGCTCTCTGGAACAAGATACCTGCCAGGCTCTCAGGTCCACTACAAGCCACAAGAGGATCCAGAAGTATAACAGAGGTGTCCACTATTTTGGAAAATTCAATTAGCTTTGAAATCCGACAGTCACAAAACCATGGATTGTCCTGCAAACCTTAAGCAGAAAAAAAAGTATACAGTTAGTTTCAAGCATTATTTGGATTTCATAATTAGAATGGGACATACCATTGTGTCTAAATGCTAATAGGGAGAGTCATGTGCCTCTTAAGTTCATTAAATATTTAATTTGTTCCTTCTATACTCTTTATTTATTTATTTATTTATTTATTTATTTTTGGAGGTTCAGGAAGGAGTGTTAAAGCTGTTTTGTTAACATTTGATAAACCAGATCTTTTCCCCACAACCACCTGCACAGAAAATGGTACATGAGTTGACAAATTCTACACTAAATTGTACCATTTTTCAATTCCTTTTGAACAACCTCAGAAGGAGCAGCCTTGGTTAGCTGCCAAGTAAGGTATTTCACCAGCGTTTGGCTTCTTGGCAGACCCTTCAAATACAAGTAGATCTTCTAACTATGGACAACTATGGTTGTCTTTTGACTTCCACTGCTCTCCTTCCCCTTCATTAAGTATGGAGTTTTCTAAGCTTCTCTTTTCTTTTCAGGCACCTTTTTCAGTGCTTGGATTTTGGCTGGGGAGAGAACAATGATAAAAGTGTTTATGACTTATACCAACTCTTCTGCCATAGAACAGAGATGGCTTTAAGCGAACAAAGTTTAGATCTGGATCTGAACTTTCCTTATGCTCAGGGGTGTTTGGATTCAGAGATCTCATTCAGGCCAATCTCTTACATACAAAATATTTAAAAGTTGTGGGGGGATGTGGAGAGAGAGGGAGGAGGGCAGAGGAACTGTCGAAAGAATTAAAAGATATTCGCATTTTTGATGGCACACAAGGACCCAGACCCGCCCATTTGACTTCAGACTATTTGCCCTTTGATTATGAAGAGCATGAGTGAGGGGACATTTCTTCTCTTGTTGAATTTGATTTCAGGTGAATTACACTGGCCATTTTATAGTAATGTAGGTCCAGATCTTATATTGGTGTAACACAGCATAGCTCTGTTGACTTCAATAGAGAAATATCTGTTTATACCAGCTGAGGACCTAGTCCACAGCATTTCATTCATGCCTTTAAATAGTTTCTGATCTGACTTTAGATCTTTGTACAAATCTCCCTGGAACACTCTATTTCCTCTGAATATTAACAATAAATAGAACTAATTCCCAATCCAAGCTATTTTTGTAGGTAACACAGGACAGCCTCCAATGCTATCATGATGGGTGCATTAAAAGTGGGCAGGCAGATATAAAATAAAAGCTACTACTTTGCAGTGAAAACCTATAATTACTGGACACTCTGAACAGTTTAGCAAACCAGTCATGAATGAAACCCAGATAAGGAGACACAGCACACAGCTCATGATGTGAAAAGATGCATTAACTTTAGGAATAATTAAATAAAAAATTGGAATTATTCCATGTTACCAACACCTTTCTTTTTCCCCTTTCTTAATATTTCATTGGCTTCTAATCTCTTTGCATTTTTAGAAAAAAATCTGTAGATGTAGAAATATATGCTTCCTTTAATCACCTGACCAAGATTAGCTTATCTTAAGCACAAAGTCAGTGATTGGTTATACCAGTGATAAACCCTGACTAATCCCACCCTTAAAAACAAGACTTGACCTGAAGAGATTCCTTGACTATAAGTTTATGACATCACAATCCAATTGTACTCCTTCCAGACACGAATGATTTTAAATCTATTGACTAATTATTACCCACAAGAAAAGGAATAGGCAAATCCAAGAAAACTGGTTCAACTATTGTATTTTTAAAAGCTAATCTCCAAAGAGAGAGAAAGAGAGAGCGCGTGCACATGCTTTGGAGAGTATATACAGCTGTGGTGATGTTATATCATATACAACCTGACAACCTCTGGTGAACTGGGCATATTATTATTATATATATATATATATATTTTTTCACCAGAGGTGAATTTCAACAGGTTTCCTTTAACATCAGTCCATCCTATCTGTAGCTGCCCCTTTGCACTGTATACTTAAGGTGGGGATGTGGATAAAACTAGCAGGGGAAGGAGAAGGTCGATGTTCTTAATTTCCAGCCTACTCCCTTAGTACATAAGATAAACTTCCTTCCAATTCATATATGTAGTACAGGTGTCCCAAAAGCCATAAATTGCAAACAAATCCAATGTAAGGCCCCTGATTCCCAGGATGTGTAAATGTACATGCCATGTAAGGATCTTGAGACCATTGTGCAAAGTAAAGGTGTTCAAGAACATAAGAACAGCCATGCTGGGTCAGACTAAAGGTCCATCTACCCCAGTATCCTGTCTACCGACAATGGCCAATGCCAGGTGCCCCAGAGGAAATGAACAGAACAGGTAACCATCAAGTGATCCATCCCCTGTCACCCATTCCTAGCTTCTGGCAAACAGAGGCTAGGGACACCATCTCTGCCAGGTTTACTTAATGTTATTTACCCACATTTCTTAAATATACATTTCTCACATTTTGGAATATTTGTATGTTGCTGAGTTGGGACAATTATGTCTCTTAAAAAAATTAAATAGCATAAATCACATTTTTTAATGGTCTGATCCTGCAAAGTCTTACTCATGTGAGTAATAATGATAATAGGGATTTGCAGGATTAATCCTTTAGACAGGTAAATTATTCACCAATATGGCCAAGTGATTGAAATATATAAGTCTACTATGAAACTTTTAAAACATACAAAGGCACACAAAAATATCAACAAATAATTCCACTGAAAGCAATTGTGGCAAAAGAAAGTGAAGGTTGTAGGATTAAGAATTTAATAGTCAGGCACCTCATATGCAAAGGAGCTTCTTAACTCAAATTCATTTCTCACTAATCTGTCCATGCTTCGCAAAATGCTTCTTATTAGGGCAATACATGGTTAATGAAGTTTGTGAGACATATTAATGCCGTATAGTAAAAAAGCAACATCCTACTTAGAGAGGCAAGATGGGTGCAATGCAGTTGTAGCCTTGACTCTCTAATAACCTGGGACCAACACAGCTTGAACAACACTGCCTACATCATCCTGCTTGTGAGTCAGGATACTGCCACCAATCTCACTGCAGAGAATTAATTGTAAGACAGCTTCTCAGTGTCCTCCAGCATGCTCTCTGGAGCACATTTATTCTACTGAAAGTGGTCCTAATGCCACAATCCTTTTCTTAGAAAACACTCTCCCTGAAATCAGTGTAAGTTTTGCCCAGGAGAATGGCAAGATTAACTGCAGCATTTGTTCCTACTGCCGTCAGAAAAACACAGATTCCAGACTGACAGGGAACAATGTTTCTCCTAGAGCAGTGGTCCCCAAACTGGAGGAGGGTTGGGGGGGCCCACAGGGCCTAGGCCAACCCCCCTCCTCCCAGGGTGGCAGAGGGGGAGTGCCACCAAGCCCCCTGCTCTCCCCCTGACTCGTTCCAACCCCAGCAACAGCTCCACTCCACCCACTTCTCTGCCCCCGTCCAGCTCTGCCCTCATTCCTCTCCACCCCCGGGCCAACTCTGCCTCCTGCCCCAGCTCCTCCCCCATCCCCAGTTCTCCCCTGGCTCTGCCTTTAGCCACAGCTCCTCTGCTGAGCCAACTGTGCAGTAATGACCTACGGGAGGGGGCACAGACAGATTCCATTACTGGTAAGGTGGGGCGGCAGGAAAAGTTTGGCCACCACTGTCTTAGAGGAATGTACCACTATTTCAGTTGCACACGGGGAATTCTCTTCCCAAATAAAACATTCAGTGCACTTTAAATATATGCTAGGATAAAATTTGAGCTGTAATAACACGTTAGGGAAGCTTCTTGTGGAATATGTTGTCTCATTTGAGGTATTAATGTCAGGACTATTTGAGATTTGTTTTGTGCTGCATTAACCTCTAATAGTCATTGCAAAATTCTTATGGTATATAAGGTGAACATTTAAAGATGTGTGTTACTCAGAAAGGCGACTAACCCTCATAACCTGTTGAACTCTCTGCCACTGGAAATTATTAACATTTGCAGAGACAGAGTTTCAAAGTCAGGCATGTGCAACTGCACATTGACCTTTGAACATGACTAACTGATGCCTGAAAATAGCTGGTGTTCATGAACATGTCAGATACAACAGCTGAGGGTGTACAAATTGAGTGCCTGCCGTCCATGTGTATATGCACAGATATTTGCTCACAAGTCCAACTCACTCAAGTACACAACTGCATGTGCCTACCTTTAAAATCTGTCCAGTTTTATTTTTAACTGTTTTGGAGGCAGAGGCTATTCTTATTCAGAGAAATATCTATTCCTTCTTGATATTTTACAAAATGACCTGTTCTCTTCCCTATGGACTGGAGAAAAAGAGTACCGCTAAGATATTGGACGGGAGAGTGGCTGCTCCTGAAACAAGCCCTTAAACACCGTCAGCTTTCCACACCAGTAAATTATGCTAAAAGCCAGATTAACTACCCTATAAGGCCTCTGTTCTTTCCTGTTCAAAGAGAGTAGAAACATACAGCTGAGGGGATGCGATGCAGTGGGGAAGTGAAGTTCAGGCATGAGGAGACCCCAGGATTTCCAGAGTTAGAAGTTTGCTTTCCGCATGGACCCTCAAGATTGGTAGGGCGAGCAGCTTGTCTCCCTTCACAAGGTGGCCGAGTCCTTCTCCCCATGGACAGCTTGTGACAAAGCCTCTTTGGCTAACTTTTCCCCTCCTGCAGGTTTTCCAATAGGAAGTTATGACTTGTTATTTATTGCTCATATTGCAGTAGTGCCCAAAGATTCAGTCCAGATCCAGACTCCACTGGCTGAGGCACTGTACAAACAAACATATGAGACAGTCCCTGACCCACAGAGTGTATAATAGAAATAGACTGAGCAATGAGTAACAAACAGCAGAAGAGAAAGGGAAGCAAAGAACAAGGTAATACGGTCAAATGGTTATTTAGGCTAGCCTTGAGGCTTCCAGATCATTTGGAAGCACTGGATTTTGTGAATGCGGAAAGCTGTAGAACCCCAGAGCTACTCACCTGGCCTCTTTCCCAACATATAAATATACTC